TGGGGGCTGAAGCAAAGATGCATGAGAAGAGGCTCAGTTTAGAGGATCAGAGGATCAGTTTGGCTGGAAGAAGAGAAGCTGAAGAGCAGATTTTGTTGATTACGGCTACTTAATGTGAAGGTGCAAAGAAGGTGAAACTGGATGAAGAAGGTGCCAGCAGACTGAGGGAGATAATCCTCCCACTCTCCTCAACCCTGCATCTAGAGCACGGTGTCCATTTCTGGGCTCACCAGTACGAGAGAGACATGGAGAGACTGGAGTGAGTCCAGCAGAGATTATCTAAGGTGGTGAAGGAGCTGTAGCATCTCCAATATTTGGAAAGGCTGGGAGAACTTGAACTAGTCAATCTGGAGAAGACTCATGGAGATCTTATTGATAGGTATAAATATCTGAAGGGAGGGTGTGCACAGGATGGGGCCAGACTCTTCTGAGACTCTTTTGAGATAGACAGAAGAGCATCCATAATTTGCCACATCAACATGATGACCACATGACTGTCAAGCCACATGTATGGGGAGAATACCCCTTCTTTCTGCTGAAGACTCGGCATGGGCTATTTTGCTGTGGCTGAAACTGTCCCTCCACAGGACATTTCTGACAAACATTCTGTGCTTGTAGGAGGGAAAAGCATCTGAGGTGTTGCGCCAGGAAAAAATGTTTATACACACACATATCTATACATATAACCATACATATATCACACAGACACACAGGGAGAAATCAGTAGGCTTGTCCTCCATTAAAGAAAATATTGCAATGAATTTCACTAAAAAAAAATAGCTTAATGCCCAACAATCATCTCCAACATGGGCAACAGATCATGAGAGCTACATTTTGCTGCCACTGTGTGTCTTTGAGCCAGCTGCTCACTGTCACTGCCTTTTTCTTGCTGCCAGCTTTGCCTAATGCATCTTTTGCCAGCCTGAAAAGCAAGTATTGAGCCGAGGCTGGAGGGGCAGGGAAGATAACCCTGAGAGAGGTTGTAGAGTCTCCTTCTTTTGAGATATTCAAAACCCACCTGGATCTGACCCTGTGCCACGCGCTGTAGGTGTCTTTACTTGAGCAGGAGGGTTGGACTAGATGATCTCTAGAGGTCCCTTCCAACCTCAACCATTCTGTGATTCTGTGATAATGGTCCTGCCTGGGAATGGTATTGACATGTCCTTAGGTGTCCTGTGTGTCACAGGGTTGCATCTGAAAGGCCCTGGCCCCTAGGAAGGCAGCTTTTCACCCATCTTGGCCAGGTCTAGGTAAGTTTGAATATCCCTGCTGCCCTCCAGAGACTAGTAGCTCACCTGAACTGTCTATGAATTTGTCTGGAATAACTCTCTCATCTGAAGCCCTTAAGAGATGAATATTATGGTGGTCTGCATGTAGGACCATTGAGGAACTCAGGTTGGCAGGGACTTCTGGAGGTCTCTAGTCCAGCCTTCTGCTCAAAGCAGAGTACACAGATCTCTTGGGTTAAAAACACACTTCAACCAGCCATCTCTCCAAGTGCTGATACAGGAATAGGTAAGACGTACACTGTACACCTATGCCCTCTGCGTGCTCCCGTGTGGAGCTCCTGCAAGCCTTCTGTGGGTCGTTCCACATGCACAGGCCAAGAGGGAAATTCATCTTAGCCTCAAGCTGCAATAAAAATTGCTCACAGCTAGCTATATATTCCCAAATGGAGGCCCAGAGAATCAGCAGAGGCATCAGGTTATGAAATCTTGTCAGATGGCAGATGTAGTATGTAATTAGTCTCTGACCCAGCCTATTATTTGCTGAGAGTCTCTCTGTTCCCTTGAGCTCTGAGACTTTCACAAGGAATTTTCTTTTTTTTTTTTTCCTTCGTTCCCTCTCTGTGAGTCTTTCCAGGGCTCTCCATGCATCTTCTGAGAGGAATCCACAATGACACCCTATATTATAGGATTAAGTTAGAATCTGCAGAACCTGGACTTTACAGGTTGAATGTTTTCCTAGTAGTAAATCTTACCTGTCACTATAGCCCATCATCTCCTAAGGATATCAGTGTCAATTCTTTTGACAACTCCTGACTGAGCCAATATGAGATGAAGCTTTCATTTCTGAGAGGGAAGCATCAAGATAGCTGCCATATCTCGCAGAAGGGCTTCTCTCCTTCCTTTCTGGGATGCCAGAGCTGAACAGTAGGTCAAAATGTGAGAGGACAGGGCATCCTTGTACCCCCCAAAGTGAAGCTTACTAGATATGAAGTCTCTTTTCAGCCTGGAGAAAACATAAAGGGACTCAATGGCTTCTGAATGACAGATACATTCATGCTGACCTGATTGACAGGAAAGTGGATTCAGTTTCACAAAGCTGCTTTAAAAGGAAAAACACCTGAAGTCATTTTCCCAGTATTTTTCTACAAAATAAGTGAACTTCCAAGAATCTATCTTTGCTGAGGAGTTCCCTCTGGATACTTCCTCCTAACTGCCTCTGACCTGTCATTCACAGCAGACGTATAGCCCCTACCTCTTCTCCCTGCTCTCACAACCATTTCTTTCCCAGGATTTAGACACTTCCAGGATTAGACACTGACAATTAATTTGGGACTTGTGCCAGGTGCTTTTGTAGCTCAGCAACTGTCTGGGCTGACGTAGGTAGAGCTGTTGTAGCCAGTTTTGAATGGTATGGCTCTTAAAACAGTGGGAATCATTGCAACAGCAATTCATGAAAATACTTCTCTGACTATGATTTCACACTTCTTTCTCCTCCCAGAGGGGCTGTGCGGGCAGGCAAACCTGTCTTTTGTTGTTCTTGAGGTGTGAGTTTGATGCTCCATGTGTACGAATGTGCACTGAGTTCTGGTGAAGCCATAGAGCTTTCTCAGTGCACTTCAGTCATCACATCTCCTCATCTGACTGCACAAGGAGGATCATGTCCTTCTCATCTGGGATGGCTCTACAGGCTTGCCCAGAGCTGCTGGTCCAAGAAAAGCCACCAGAGTAGAAGGAAGTTGTCTGTGGTCTGTAAGTCAAGTAAAGGAAGCCCCTCAGGTTTGTTTTGACAACAGCCTGCTTCAGTTTCTTGGGTGGGTGGTATGTTTTAGCTGCCTTCTCAGTCTAGTTTCGTGAGGTGTCTTGGACAGTGTTTTGAGAAGCAGTGTGGAGTTGTGTCTGTCCAGAAAGGGGACTTACTTACAGCTCTTTGCAGCCCACTGGAGACTGAAGAGAGGAAGATATCCTTGTAGGAAGTGAATTCTGCTTCCTAGGTAGATATAAGCCATGACACAGCCCCAGAGCACCTTATCCTCATCCAGTCCTTCTCTTCTTGCTCTTCCACCAGCTGCCATTGCTCCAAGGAGCTCTCCTTAAATGTTTCCTCTGTCTCGACCCTATCAAAGTGTGTGGCTATCCTGAAGCCTAAGAGCCTCCAGACTATTCTATCTTCTGTAAGGACAACATTCGGCCTGTACAGCCATCGTGAAAAAGCATAAGGCAGACCCTCTACCAGCAAGCTTGACTTAAAAACACTTACATTCTTCTTATTTTTTACTAATACACAATGATCCTGTAGTCTCATGGTACGCTCCATACTGCTCTTCTTCCCCCGGGCCCTCCTCACGTTCATCCGAATAAAATACCACACAGAGTGTCAGCAGCTGTATACCATGTGTTTTAATAAACTGTGTAACTAGCAGAAAAATAGTTTTGGATGTGTTAGTCCTCCTCCCCCCACCCCTTAAAAAAAATTCAAAATGAAAATCAAAACAATACCAACCCGAAAACATAAGGAAAAAATTGGTCACAGAGGAAAACAGATGCAAAATACAGAGTTGAAACAAAAGGTCTTTGATGACATTTGGGGTAAAGAAATCATATTAATAAAACACTAGGTAGTGAATAAAATTATTATTGTTTTGATCAGTTTTTTTTCCTCTCTTGATATGTATAGACATACATATATGTCCTCTGAAAAACCCTTGGTGGGATGAAATGGTATATCCAGAAGACAATGAAATAAAAGGGGCAGTTGTGGGGAAGGATTAAAAAAGAAAATAATGCATCATTGCATTCACTGAAATAAGAACAACGTTCAACTCCCTTACAATATACCATTATGGGGCTGCACAGCAAGATAATGTCACATGTTGTCCCTCCATGGCTATGCCAAGAGTCCCTGGTCCATGGATGAACTGTGAGTTTGTAATCTGAGTGATCTCAATCACTGCTATGTGTTCGAGCAGTACTTCAAAATGTAGGAAGCATTTATTCCCCTGGTTAATTCCCATGCTTTTCCATGATTTTAAATTTCAAGTTGATGAGTATTTCAGTTTGCTTTTTTTTTTTCTCCCAGGTTTCTTGTGTTTACTTCTGCGCAGTTCTCCACAGCAACCCAAATGAGCCCCATGCCACAGACTGTGCCGTTATCATGGTGTGACTGGATGGAAACATTCATTTCTCAAAATATCACTGTCTACTTTGACCTCACCATCGGTTTGTGAAGCCAAGTCATGCAGTAACCCCAGCTGCTTTGCACTGGCTGGGCCTGTGGGTCACCTCTTCATCCAAAAACAAGGAAAGGAAAAAGAAAGGAAAAATATATTTCATTTCCTTTTCTTCTTGCATGGAAACCTACCAATACAAGAGGAGTAGGTAATACCATTCTATGCTGAGGTCTCTGCTTCACCCTTAGGCAAATCTGTCCTGCATTTAGGGGAAAAAAAAAAAAAAGTTTCCTCCTGTTGGTATTTGTTGTTATCATGGTCTTTCAGAGAACCAGCCGCTGTCCAGGCTTTTCCAGATTTTGATGCCGTGCTTAAGAAGCAAACTAAGCACAAGCTCATGCTGGCTGTAAAGTTCATGGTCACCAACAAGGTGTTCAGAGAACAGCAAGGGTACCAGCTTCTTGTAAACACCATATTGCGAGGAAAGCAAAGCCAAACACCCCGTCTCCCATACCCCCAAATTGCTTCCTTCTTTCCTTTCGTTCTTTCGCTCTTTCACTGTTTCTTTTCTTGTAGAGGTGTTTGCAAAGAGACTTCTTGGAACTCTCCTCACCTCAGCCCATCTTCCCACCCTACAATAACACACAAGACCATCTCATCCAGTACCTGCCCCCAGAAGGTGTTTGTTTGTCTCTTGGTTGTTTTGGAAAACCATGCAGTCTGATCTGCTGTAGTGTGAGTGCCAGGTGGCTGGTTCTCCCCTTTCCTGAGGTTCATAAATGGTTGTTTTTGGACAGGTAGGCAATAAGAGCCACGGCCACCCCAACATAGATGCCAGTTCCAATTGTGATGGACAGCACAGCCAGGAAGAGCGCTCGCCGGGAGCTGGAGCTTGCGTGGTGGAAGTCCCCTTTGGCCACGGCTTTGTTTGTCTGCAAGATATACAACAACAACAGCACAATATGTTTATTTGTTTCACTGAAACTTCCTGACATATGACAGCAAACTGGCTGGAATTTTTTCCAGTCAAAAACTTCTTCGGTTGAGTTCGGTTGAATTCTGTCATCATCTTCACGATGATGACAGAATCAATATCAAGCATCTCAAGTGGCTATAAATTGCCTTTAAACTTGAACTTATCCTAGGATTTAATACTGTACCTCATTCCTCATTCCTGGGAATGTGGATAGATGGATTATACGTCTTCTGCTAACTCTGCCATGTTCCCTTCAACAGCAGTGACAACCTTGTGAGAGTTTGCTGGGATTACTCTCTGCTTCTAAGTTTCAAGACAGTTTCCACTCTATTTTTTCCAGTTTTGTCTTTTTTTTCTTTAAACTATCTACTACTCAGATGTACATCAGCCAAATGACAAACTTCCAAGACGAGAAAGAGACTTCTGGCCTTTCTGTCACTGACTTTATTAGGAAAACTGTCTCTTCTCATTCATCAACCTATTTTTTTTAAGCATAATGTCTTATAAATGTTTCAGGAAGAAACAATGTCAAACAACACATTTTATGAGAGAGGCACAAGGCTACAGAAGGGAGGAAAAGGATAATTTCCAAACAGCAACATACAAAAAACTCCCAGGTTTACACCCAGGGTCATGTTTCCTAGTTTAGATGGGAAAGACATCCTATCTACTTAGCAAAGGATATCAGGGCAGGCTTTTTGTCAGTGGTGGCCACTGATTTTATAAGCATCTTTTCTGGGACTGCCAAGGAAATGAACAAACAAAAAAAGCAGAGCCTTTTCTAAAAAAAATTCCAGGGGCTTTCGGCTTATGGATGCATTTGTTAGGAGGTCTTAAAAATCTTGGCAAGGAAAGCAGAGGAAGCTTTAGAGTGGGATAAAGAGTCTTTCAGCCTTCCTCAAAGATTTTCTCCAAGTGTCTTCTATCCACCAGAGCATTAATGAAAGGCTTGAACAGAGCAGCTTCTATTCACTGAGGTTAGGTTGGATTTATTAGACAAAGGGTAACTTCACAGGGCTGAAGCTATTCATGCCTTTGGATAAAGAGAGGTAAAGAGTTTCACCTCCCCAAATGGAAGGAAGGTTTGAAAATATTATAATATTTCAGTTGGTCATTTCTGAAATGTCAGGTTGTATTATGGAAAATCCTGCAACATTCTGAGCTGACCTCTTTTAAATGAAACTTTGTACAGTCACAAACCAGAATCTTTTTCCCTTAAAAAATGACCTAAATTCAAAGAGGAAAACAAACCATTATCCAAAATATCAAATAATATAAAAACTTGACAATATGTCCTGATTTGGTTTAATAAAACAGGCTGGATCTATCCAAAATGATATGTTGTGCAACCCAAAGGCTGATTTGTTCAGCACTAATGGCTTCTTTCTCACAGGATCTTCAGCCCAGGGACAAACCTCACAAAACCAGCTCTTTTCTGGAGGAGCTTGTTGAGGATTGTCCTGACCTTTGTGAAAAGATTGTAGTTATGGTGAAAATCCGGTTTCTCACTGAAATGTTCAACCCAGAGTAAAACATATTTCATGTATTGACCAGGTGTTGCCATGGAGTGGAATCATTATGCTACAGTTTGAATCTGTCCAGAACTTTCACAGAACTTCTCATTTCCAAGAAATTACTGAATTTTAGTGGTTTTTTTTTTTCCCCCTTTGGATCTAACGCATATTTTGTGATCTAGAAAAATCAAATTCCAAGTAGATTTAATTCTAGAGGCAGAGACCGTTAGTGAGGGCACCTAGGAAAGAAAATTTGCCACTCCTCCTTTAAAGCATTCAGAAGGGCTTCCACTGAGATGGAGAATTCACCAACATGGAAGCCGTCCTCTGTGAGTGTAACCCCAGGCAGAAAGGATTCCCCTATGATTCAGAAAATTCTTTGTTGTTTTTTTCCTCTTTAGTAAAACAATGAGGACAAGAAATGTCTCATCTACATCAGAGACTGAGTGAAAAAACTACCATTTCCTTCTTCTGTAAGGTGCTTTTCTTGGCAATGCGGAGAGCATGAAAGAAATAATCATTAAACCCTAAAAGAAATGAAAACATCTATATGCAGGCAATGGTTGGGTTGTTCACTTGTATTCATAGTGCCTGTACCTCAGATGTTTGTAACTGAAAGTTAAAACTTAAAAGGATTTTCCACCTAAGACTGGAGTCAGGTGCCATAGAGAGACAGGAAAATGCAACCACTCAAGTCTGCAGCATCTGAAAATGACAGATGTGCAGAGAGAGAGATGTGTTGCAAGCACTTTTAGGCTTTTGCTACCAGCCAAAATATTGGGAATTCATGCAGAGAAACAAATTCAGCCTTCCCTTCTGAAACATGTTTATCATCACATGTTTTTTTTATTATTATTTTATAATGCCACTTCCTGTAACTTTGCACTTCTGGTTAAAATTACCCCAGGTAAAAAAGACTGACGCTGTCTCCACTTCCATTAAACAGCCTCATCATGGACACTCACAGCACCTGCGATGGACACCCTTGAGTGCCAAAGGCACCTTGATCTATTCAGAAGCCTTGTCTAGGATGACAAGTTTGGAAATCCTTCCAGGAGTTTATGCTCAATTAAAGGTGGCATTTGGGTAAAGTGCAGTGCCAGGGCTCTGGGGACAATGTGACAAATGATAAAAGGCAGTTTTTGTCCAGTTGTTCATCCCCACTCTGGAGATGCATTTGCAAGAACTCCTCATTGCAAACTCAACTCTGGCCTCATTTAGCCAATGAACCAATATATGCTTCTGTTTTCCTTCTCCCTCCCAGAAGCAAAGCCCACCTATGAAAATTCCTGGGCTGAATCCTTGGCAGGTATTAACTGGTCTAGCACAGGAGGATAGTCCAGCAAGGACTTGTGCAAGAATAAAAATGCAAATGTTCTACTAGGAAAGGCCTTGATGATTCACTAAAGCCAAATGTTAAATTAGCTAAAGCTAAATCCTTTGATTTAAGAAAGTAGGGAATCCAAGCAGCTATATGGATGGGCTTAAACGTGGACACAGAAGTGAGTGCTCCACCTAGACAGAATTTTAACTGTGGATTTTTATGGTGCTTCCAACCCTTTGCTTCTTCCTTTCCTTGCTAAGACTGTGGCTGGCAGCCAGGTGATTGATGAACCAATTTAAGGCCGTCTTTGGGCAGCAGGACCAACAAGCTTGATAAACACAGCGGGTGACAAGTGCAAGACATTGGATAAATTACAAGTGAGGAATAATTCATCACATCAGCATGAGGCGAGCTTTGCCACTGCACAGCCAGAATATGACATACTTTTTCTGAAAAGGGTTCATATCCCTTGGCCACCACTGTCTTTTGGTAATCCTTTGCTCTGTGTTTCCCAGGATGCCCAGGCCTGGCCATCAATTTGCCAACTTGAGGCACAGACTGTGATGAAGGGACTTCAGGATTGAAAGCTGGAGCTAGAGCAAAGACCAGCCTCCAAACAATCCTGTCTTCTAGAGGCTTTGGAAGTTGAAAGCCTGTTCTGTTTTCTGTCAAGCCATGGAATTGGGGGGAAGGAGACCTGAAAAGACTTTCTTACTTGGTTTAATTGACAAAATGAATATCTTCTTGTCTGGAAACATTTTCAAGGATTTTCAAGGAACGCCGCTGGAGTATCTACTTGAGCTTCTGCAAAACATATTCGCCATGTATATGGACTGCATGTTTTAGGGTCCAGGGGAAGATAAATACTGCACTTCCATAGCTGCAAGGTTTTAAAAACCCCCACCGTGCTGTATCCCACTGTTAGGTCCGGTATCCGGACTCTGCCAGTTATCATGGGTCCTTGTGCTCTAAGACTCAGCTTATTCTACATTAGCTATTTAACCCCTACCTTCCCTGCTAATGCACCCTACACCACAGAGCCTCATCCATCATATTTGCAAAATGCCTCCTGGGAGGCTGTCTATAGAAAGAAGAAACACATTGGTCACAATTGTTAAACCCACCTCACCTCTCTGAGACTAGAGGGCAGGAATGGCCCATATAGTGAGAGGACAGGCTACTGCCCCATTTGCTCAGGTGACATAAGGGTTTATTTTCACTCTCTGGGAAGATTGGCTGGCAAGGGGCAAGGATGCCCAGTGTCCATGCAGCTACAACCCTGAATATTACTTCTGAATATTACTTCAAAGAAGGCCTCAGGATGAGGTGCAACTCATGAAGAAACTGCCTCTCCTCCCATCTTTTCTCCTTTTCTGCCATGCAAGAAATTGGCCACTGCTTTTGATTTGTCCAAACTGTGCCTCAAATTTCTGGGTGGCGCGATCATCCCCCTTCTGGCCTGTGCCGCTGACTTTCACTGAGCAAAAGGACTCCAGAGCCTTTGCTAAAATTGCAGGTGGGAGAAGAGATTTGCTTCTGGGTCTTGAAAGATAGAAGGGAAGTTCCAGTCAGCGGGGAAAGCTGCGAAGCTGCCTGACACCAGGCACAGGGTAGCAGATGGGGATGTGGCAGGCATGTCTTCAACCCTGAGGAGAGCTCTGTGGCATCTGGAGTAGGGTTATTGCAGGAGTTATTGCAGCCCTCTTGGCTCTGCAGGCAGAAATACTGGTCCAAGCAAACGGTCCTTCTGTTGAGCATTTGCAAATTCCTTTACACTTGTAGTGTCATTAAATAAGAAAAAAATCAGGCTGTTGTTCCTTGTCTTTTGGGTACTTAAGGGCTCTTTTGCAGGTTTTCACCATTTCTGCTGGGAAGTTGGCCCATGTGCTGCTTGTTGGAAAGGGGATGAACTGGGAACAGCTTTTATTCCTGGAAGCTCAGGAAAGGATGAAGAAAAGAGGATGTGACTGGAGAGAAGAGGGTATGAATGCTTCTGCATGACCAACTTTCACAACATCCTGGTTTGAGCCTTCTGATCATTTCAGTATCAATGTTTTCTGCTGGAATCTGAAAATATGACACAGGCTGGGATGCTACTCATGGTGGGTGCTGCCTGGC